GGGGGAATCAACATCGTCCGGCGACGCTTCCCCGCGATTCCCACCCCGGACGAGCCCCTCGCCGGCGGAATCGGGACCGGGATTGGCCTTTTGAGGGGCCGCCCCAGTTTTTTTGGCTTTTTTGGCCGTCGGGGTTGAAGGGCCGTCGCGGCCCTCGGAGGCCGTGCGGTTTTCCTTCTGCAGCTCCTTGAGCTTCCGGTCAAAGGCGAGGTTGAAGTCGGGATCCTCGCGGGATTTCCGTTTGCGGCTCTTTTTCGACGTCAGCCGGGCGAGTTCGTCCTCGACGGTTTGGAGTTTGTCCACCACCCGCTGCCGACGCGCCTCGGCTTTCTTGCGATGTTTTTTTTCCTTTTTGTGCGCAATTATTTCCTCCACGCTGCGCGGGCGATCGTCCGGCGGGGGATCGGAGAGGGCGGCAGGTCGACGCCGCGGCGTTTGGATGGGGCGGCCCACCAACGCCACGAACTCCCGATTCAGCGAAACGGCGGGGCCGGGATGATCGGTCGGCGTCGTTGTTGTTTGCCCCGGCCCTGGCGGTTGCGAATCCCGGCTTGAAGGGGCGCTATTGGCCTTGCGCGGAGGGCTGAGGGAGGCCGCGATGGCGTCCGTTTTGCGCTTTTTCAAAGCGGGGCCCGCGCCGCGGGCCGCCCCCTGCGATCCCTCCTCCCTCCCTCCCTCCCCTTTCGCGGCTCTTTTATCCGCCGGACGGTGGGAGGAACCTCCCATTTCCTCGGGATTGGCAGGCGGCTCGCTTCGTTTCGGCGCGTTGTCGTCGGGCCGGGGGACTTCGGCGGGGCCGTCGGCCTCGTCGTGGGGCCGCTGGCGTTCGCGTTTTCGCCTTTCCAGGCGCGCCCGCTTGGCCTGCAGGTACTCGAAGACCCCGCGTTGGCTGTGCGGGATGTCGGCCTCGGTCCCGATCGTCTTGGGGGTGGGCGCCTGATTCGCCAACTGCGCCCGCCGTTGCTCTAACTGAAAGGGGGACAACTTGGGGTTTTGGTTTCGCTTTCGTCGGGCGGATTTATGCCGCGGCACGCGACCGCGTTTGGCCATGAATTTCGACTTTTTTCAAGGGGGAAAAGGAGAACCAAAGTTGTGGTTTCACGCCGCCTATTTGATAGCGCGCCTTTGGGTTCCAAACGTGGGACGACTTTCCTTCAATGTGGCGGATAGGTTGCCAAGGACGTGTGGCAATTTCCGAAAAGGGATAAAATATGGTGAATAAGGGGAAATAATAGGGAAATCAATACAAATGACGTCAGCATGAAATCTTGATGGTGGATATTTTTATACCATACATAGATATCTCTATCTATATCTATATATATATATGGTATCGAAAAGGCCTCATAAAAGTTCCTTCATATGCACCCATATACAACTATGCATATTGTGCTTCTCGATGTTAAGCGATTCAAAAGTCTGTTTTCTACTTAATTTAATTAAACGTCTGACAAAAGTCAAAAAATGTCCCCGGATCTCTTCATTTGGGGGGTTTTCTAAGACCAACGGATCAACCGAACCCCCTCTTCGCGCTTCCTCGCACGTCCGCACAAGGTATTCAAGCAGTGAGCCGTTCCGCTGATTGGGTGCTGTGGTTCGCGTGGCTGCTATTCCTGCCCTGACGCCGTCTCCTGCTCGGCTACGAACGCGGCGAAGGCGCGGGAATGGGCGTCGGAAAGCCTCAGCTCCACCCGCACGTTGCCCTCGAGATGGAATTGGTCCAACAACTGCTTGGCCTTGAGGAGCGTCGGCAAATCGCGAAAGACGACGCGGAAATGCCGCGCGTGGAGCCGCCAGGCCGAGAGAAAGCCGGGCAAATCGCGTAGCTGCTGCCGCAGCGCCCGCAGCTGCCACCCCGCCGAGACCACCGCGACGGCCGACACGAGGTCGCGTTGGTGGGCGGGAAACTGGCGAACCCACCTCGCCTTTTCCGCCGAATCCGGGGCATTTCCCCCTGGCTTTTTTTCATTGGGGGCCTCCGCTTCCGCCCCGGACGAGGGCGCGGCCGCCTTGGGCTTCCCCCAGGGAAAGAGCGCCTCGTCGGGGTCCCGGCCGGGCAGGTTGACGTAGGCGGGGAGGCTGTGGGTGAAGTAGGGCCGATACCGCAGCCCTCGCACCATCTCCTCGAGCGACCGGACGGCCGTGGGCTTCCCCGGCCCCCTCGTTTCCCCCTCGCCCGCCGCGGACGGCGGGCCCCAGGCCGCGAAGACGCTGGAAAGAGGGGCCTCCGCTGGCCCTCGGATCGTCAGCTCCGCCGATCGCGTTTCGCTTCGGCAGAGGACTTCGTACGTGCAGCGTTTCGCCTTTTCCGCCCGGCGGGAGGCCCCGTCGGGGGCCTCGTTGAGCTCGGGCGCGAGCTGGCAGTAGGCCGGCAGGCAGTGCTGGTGGACCTTCGCGAGGTCGCTCTCGACGTTTTGGATGATCACGACGTACCGCTCGTCCGCCGGGGAGGCCGGGGAGGGGCCGGGAGGGGCCGCCCGCGGTCTTTTGCGCCCTCGGCGCTCGTTGGGAGGCATTCTGGCCCTGTAGGAGTCGTAGTTCGGTTCGCTCTATGAGAGAGAGAATCAGAGGGGGATCGAGATGTATAGCAATAGGTGCGTGTGCACGGAAAAGGGGGGTTCCCTACAAGAGATAGCGCAAATACGCACTTGTAGCAATCACACTGAAGGTATATATATAAATATATATTTATTATTTTTT